TTTTTCTTCAAGACCCTAAACATTTCATATAATAATGATTTGGTGGTGATGAACTCCTTTAGCTTTTCCTGGTCTGGGAAACTATATAGCCATCAATTCTAAATGATAGCTTTGCAGGATAGAGTAATCTTGGTTGTAGGTTCTTGCTTTTCATCACTCTGAATATTTCTTGCCACTCCCTTCTGGCCTGCAAAGTTTCTTTTGAAAAATCAGCTGACAGTCTTATGGGAACTCCCTTGTAGGTAACTAACTGCTTTTCTCTTGCTGCTTTTAAGATTCTCTCTCTGTCTTGAATCTTTTGCATTTTGATGATGATGTGTCTTGGTGTGGGCCTCTTGGGATTCATCTTGTTTGGGACTCTCTGTGCTTCCTGGACTTGTATGTCTGTTTCCTTCACCAAGTTAGGGAAGTTTTCTGCCATTATTGTTTCAAATAGGTTTTTGATTTCTTGTCCTCTCTCTTCTCCTTCTGGCACCCCTAAGATGTGAATGTTGGCACGCTTGAAGTTGTCCCAGAGGCTCCTTACAACTATCCTCATTTTTTTGGATTCTTTTTTCTTTTTGCTGTTCTAATTGGGTGTTTTCCTAATTGGCTGATATTCCTAATAGATGGTTTTCTTCTTGGCTTTGCCTACTATACTACTGAATCTGTGTAAATTATTCTTTATTTCAGTTAGTGCCTCCTTCATTTCTGACTATGCATCCTTCATTTCTGACTGGTCCTTTTTTATGCTCTTGAGGCCCTCACCAAGTTCACTGAAGTTCTCACTAAGTCCATTGAGCATCCTTCTGAGCAGTGTTTTGAACTCAGCATCTGTTAGGTTGCTTATCTCCATTGTGCTTAGTTCTTTTCCTGGAGTTTTGTTCTGTTTTTTCATTTGGGACTTGTTTCTTTGTCTCCTCATTTTGGCTGCCTCCCTGTGTTTCAGTGTATTACTTAACGAGAGGTATGGGGCTATCTGAGAACAGATGGCTGCTTGTTTGAAAGAATTTAGGAAAACCTGAAGCAGGATCCAAGACAGGCCTATCCTATGTTAAAGCAACTGGCAACAGCTTGGGTGGGCCTGAAAGTTGGGTGGGGCGGGGCGGGGCCTCAGGGAATCACCAGGGCGAGGCAAACAGTTTGATCCAAGTTGCTGGAGTCCCAGATATGGTGGCTCTCTGCCCCCCAGGGAAGGGCTCACCAAATGAACAGAGGCCTCTGATAGCACGTCTGTCCTGGAAAAAGCCCCCTTCCTAGTCCTCGCTTCAGTGCCAAACAGCTCAGTTCTCCTTGTATGTCTCTGTTGCCCATCATGCTGCTTCCCCTCTGAGTTTAGAGGGAGCAAGTCCGAGTAAGTCCATGCGCGTGCCCTTTAAGAGGAGCTGCCTGGGGCTCCAGGTACCTCAGCCTCCCTGAGCCTCAGTTCCCACTGGTTTTTCCAGCCAGAAGTTATGGGGACTTTTCTTCCTGGCACTGGAATCCTGAGCAGGGCACCTGGTGTGGGATGGGGACCCCTCAGTCCTCAGGGAGGGCCTTCCCAGCCGAGGTCTCTCCTGATTTTTATCCGCCACACGTGGGTGTGGGACCAGCCGTCGCACCTCCACCCCTCCTACCAGTCTCGATGTGGCTTCTTTAATTCTGTAGTTGTAGGACTTCCTTCCATTCAGTGAGATTTCAGGTGGCTTTGAGTGATGGTTGTTCTGTAGTTTAGTTGTAACTTTGATGTGATTGTGGGAGGACATGATACCGCGTTTACTTATGCCACTATCTTGACCAGAAGTTCCGGAATGGATTATTATTATGGATCAAATATAACAAGATGAATTTTTCAGAGATAAATATTGTCTTTGTACTTGAGACAAAAAAACAAACAAAAAATCACAAACTAAACAAGGACACCATTGGAAGGACATGACTTAATTGCAGCATATGCAATTAAGAGTAATAGGGTGTGACCAACTCTTATGAGCTAGCACAAATGGGTTCTTTAAATGTAGTATTGAGCCCTGGCCAGTTTGGTTCAGTGGTTAGAGTGTCAGCCCGCATACCAGAGAGATCCGGGTTCAGTTCCCGCTAAGGGCATGTACCTTGATTGCAGTTTGTCCCTGGCCCCGGTTGGGGTTGTGTGGGTGGTAGCCAGTTGATGTGTCTCTCTCACATCGATGTTTCTCTCTCTCACTCTTCCTTCCTCTCTCCCTCCCGCTCTATCTGAAGATGAATGCAAAAATGTCCTTGGGTGAGGCTTAAAAAAAATAAATTAATAAAATAAAATAAATGTAGTATTGAAAACTACTCTGCACTAATATGATGTATTGTCGTCCATTCCATTTTACAAGAGACTTTGATCAATTGAAAATAAATCCAGAGGTCTGTGTCAGGGATGGTAAGGAGGACATTCAAACCCATGTCATGAGACACAGTTGAAGAAAACAGTAATGGCAAGTCTTAAAAATATTGGCACTCAGCAAACAATGAGAACTGTCCAAAAAGAAAATAAGAAAGGAAAAAGAACAAAATTAACTGCCTGTGTGGTCATGAAAGCAGGCAAAGACTGGTTGAACTTTTTAAAAAAGTATTCTTGATGATTAATGGGTAGAACCACATAGTAACTAAAGTGTCTTTCAACCTTAAGATTATATGGATCTACATAATTATTAGAAAGCAGGCAACATGAGGATGGGGTAGGGGAGAACTATATGCTTAAGCCAGTGGTCTAATTGAACTCAAATAAGTACTTATTGGTCCGGCCAAAGTGTCTCAGTGGTTGAGCATCAACCCATGCACCTGGAGGTCACCAGTTCGATTCCCAGTCAAGACACATGCCCAGGTTGTGGGCCTTATCCCCAGTGGGGTTATGCAGGAGGTGGCCAATCGATGTTTCTGTCTCTCCCTTTCTCTTCCTCTCTCTCTAAAATCAATAATGGGGGAAAAATGTTTTAAAAAGTGCTTATTGGATGCTCCCTAAATCAAGGCATTGTTGAAGATACTACAAACAATTTAGAAGTTAAGAAATGTTCAGGTTTGAGTCATTGTCAGTGGGAACGTAACTTGTTTCCTTGGCTTTGTTTTATAGTCTAGTCTCTTGAGACAAGATCTAGGGCTTGGAAGCCCAGCGCAGCTGTCTTCTTCAGGAAAACCTGGGACACCATACTACTCATTCTCTGCCACAAGTTCCAGGAGAAGACCACTCCATGACTCTGCAGCACTTGGTAGGTGTATTACATGACAAATCCCATCCTGCAAATGTTTCTCCCCCATCCTTAGTCTTTTCTTCTGGCTTCACTTTTAATGAGAAGAAATTTGATTTCTTGGGTATCATATTGATGTTGCGGCTTATTTACATAAAATAATATATCTGTTAGATGTTTATTTTTTTCCTCCAATTTTTATTAATTTGTTTTTGTTACAGATGTTTCTCCTTTTTCCCTTCTAGACCCCCTCCTCCCCATCCCACCCCACCCCCACCCCACCCCCTTAGCATTGCTGTCTGTGTCCATTGGTTATGCATACATGCATATAAGTTCTTTGGTTCATCTCATCCATCTCCCCCGCCCTCCTCTATTAGATATTTAATAAACAATTTATTACTGTTGTTTAGTCATCAATATAAGAAGAACTAAATAGCGAAAAACAAAACTTAAAAATTGAACTGGTTTTTCCTCTTATAAAAATGTCTGTTCACATTATCACCTTATTTTTAACTAAAATTGATAATAATGCTGATCAGTTTACACAGTGCTTTTTTGTACATTCTCATCTCATCAATACAACAGTTCTGCTAGGCAGTGGATATAATACTAGAATTAACATAAAACTGAGACTCAAAAGAGAACACATTCATATAATTAGTAGTGCCTATTAAGTATTCAACCCTTATTTTCTTTATACATTGCCTAACCAGACCAATCTATTTTGTGTTGCTACTCATAGCAAGCTTCGAGTGTACTCTGACACCTTATCTAATTAGTATTTAAATGTGGGAATTTTTGGCGATTCCTACCAAAGAATCCTTTATATGGGAAAATTGACGTTGTAAAGCATGTTTATAGTAAGATAGGCTAGCTTCAAAAATATATATAGTCCACCAATAAAAAGTGTGTCATATTTATTCTACAAATACTTGTTGACTACTTCCAACATATGTATCTACCTCTGTCAAACCTATATTTTAGTGAAATATCCCTAGTTTCTGGGTCTAGAGTATGCTTGAGGGTAACAAAGGGCATAGCGATAGATTGTCACATTCAGCAGAGAGCTCTGATTAGATGTGCCCACCTCTCAGTATTATGAGTTAGTATATGTACTGTTGGAGTAAACCCAGATGATTTAGGCCAATATATTTTTTGTTATGAAAAAAAAATTAATTGTAAAGTTTATTTTCTCTATCTCCACTTTTGTTTCCCACTAAATGAGTTAGTCAGGGTAGGAGCATCCATTTGAGTCTAGGTGTGTTAGTATCACTCTAGAAAATAACTAGTTAGTATGTTATTTGAGTATCTATCGTGACAAAAAAAAACAAAACAACACTACTGTAGACCGATATACTATTACTAAAAGTTCAAGGATAAAATGAACTATTGAAATAACTAGGAAAGGGGGTGGATTTCATAAAAACTCAAATTTTCCAGAAATTAATTCATTTTGATTATGATAGATAACTATGTATCATCTCCCTCGTAGATATTATGTTGTACATACTACATTATTACAAAAACTCTGTGAGATTATAATATTACCTTCTTGTTACAAATGAGGAACCAAGATCTAGGAAACTAAGTAATTATTAGACAAGGCTTGGTGCCCAGGGAGGCCCACTCATGTCCTGTGTGAATACCATTTAGTAGATTATTATTCTTCATTGTTATTTCTTAGTCTTAGCCACTCTTTCTTGGCATTGCTTTTATTCATAAAATCTCAGATTTGAAAGGACCTCAGAGATCATCTTAATCAATCTCAGCATCTTCTCAACTTTTTAGATACTTTAGGCAGTCAACAATCTGCACAACAGTAGTTAACAAATACTCTGGTTTCTCTTCAGATCACACAAATCTTTAGCCTTTTACCAAAGATTTCTGTGGAAAGGAACAATTCTGAATTTTGAACCAATTTTTGAGGCCTTGCATCTGCAAGGCTAAAAACAAACAATATCTAACTATCCAATTTATAATCATTCTGCCAGATTTTAATATAAACCTAATATAATGGCTAACATTTATTAAATGTCACTCTCTGTAGGCACTGCCCTGAACCTGTTTTATGTATTATCTTTATTACAGTAATTCCAGGAGGTGTTATCCCACTTTTCCATCTTAGGTAATTGAAGCTCAAAGAGGTTAAGTAACTTGCCCAAGCTCACACAGCTGCTGTATGATGAAGCTGAAATTTTAATCCTGCCAGCTTATTCCCTTACCTGTTACACTTTAAACTCTCCCAAAAGTGAAGCGTGAATTCCAAATTCATGATTTTAAATTTCACATTACGTGTGTGATTGTGTAGTGGCAAAATGATGAAATAAAAATATAAATGAAAACTTTCTATGCACCTGGCAGGGGAAAACCGTCCTAAATGAAATAGAAATATCTTCTATTAATAATTATCCTATGATAGAGTGATGTGTTCCAAACTAATAACAGCAGTACATTTGACTCTTGGGTGGCTTTTGCTCAACAGATGCTGTATTAGTTGTGAAGGGTTGGTTCTAGAAAAGCTTCACCAAAAAAAAAAAACCCAGAAATTTTGCCTGTAAATTTTATAAATATAGAGTGTGCCAGATGTTGTTTATTTTTGACACTTTGTTGTAAAGAAATATAGGCTGCCTGTTGGGGTAGTGACTTAGATGCTAATGAATGCTTTTCCCCCTTTTTTATTGTATAAAATTTTTCCACATGGTACTTATAAAGTTGCTTTTTTAGCTTTGTAACCTCCTGGGATATTTACTGTAAAGATCCCCACCCCCACTTTAAATGGGTTTCATTTTTTTCTTAAACAACTCCATGCCTTTCATATCATTTATGACCCATAAAAAGAACATGTTTGTTTAATTTCCATTTTTACAGTTTTCAAAAATAAATAGTACTATACATCAGCATTCTTCTGTGTTATCTCTTCTTAATAGTAAACCCCTCTGAAAAATGCTGATTTTGGTCCATTATTTGTGGAATATTAGAAAGCTATCTGTACTTAAGACCTTTTTTACAGTAAATAAGGACAAGTTTTAAAATTTACAGATAGTAAAATTAAAATACCAAGTAAGGTTGGTTAGACATATAAAAGTACTCATGTTTTCATTTATATTAATGAATCATTTATGTCTTAGAAAGAAATATACTTTCTCTATGTAGTTATTTCTTGGAAATAAAGATACATATCCAAGGATAAATTGTACCATAATTGGTGCTGAAGTTGCAGTTGTAGCCACACATTGTTAAAGTGAACTGAATTCTCAGTGTGATGTGGACACTAAATTTGTGTCTCTGTTAAGGAGTTATATTATGCAAATGGCCTCTTGTACCAAGTGCTCCTCTGCAAATGAAACTGAGATAAATGATGTAAAGTGCCTGGTTATAGAGCCCTGGACATAGTAATAAGTACTTTAGAAATGTTAATTCCCTTTCCTCACACATGCTTATTGGTTTGTTTTTTCTTATTTCACTTTGTTTGCTGTCATCTTTCCAAACTTACAGGATGTGTATTTCAGAACATATCATTTCATTAGAACCTGTTTCGCACTGGAACCAATTAGGAAGAATGAGGTCCCCATCCCTATATTCACTCACTTGCTTCTAAATACTGGGAAACAAGAAAGGCACTAGGAGGAAAAATTATTTCCTGTTCATTTGAACTCTGATCTTTTCTACTACAAATGCTGATGAAATATACTGTTTTCCATGTACAGATCCTTTGCAAGCAAAGAAAGTCAGAAAGGTGCCTCCTGGTTTGCCTTCTTCTGTAAGTACCCATTTTTTTTGACTTTGTGATAAACTGATTTCAAATATTCAGCGTTTGTTGGCTATAGGATATATTCAATTGATATCAGTAAGCATGCTTCACATAGTCACTGTTTGCTGCTTAACAGAATCATGGATTAAGATAAATCTGCATTTAATGTTAGGCTTTTAGGTTTCTCTGCAATGATTTGTAGCTTACTCATATGCTTTTACTCCATGTCCCTGTCATTTGAATTCCCCTCCTGGGAAGAGGACTAGGCCGGTAGCTGTCAAAGAAGATCTCCTGTACAGGTCTTTTGATGTTTAATTAGTCATTATGTTGCTGAACAGGAGGACAGACAGAGATTAATAGCTGAGAATCTTAGAAATTTACATTTGTAATAATCCCAGTGGAGCTAAAGACATTAAGATTCGGAGGACATGTTCAGCTCAACTTGCCTTGGTAGGACTGAGGTTATTAATATGCATAAATCACCAAGTCAGATGTTCATTGTGAAGCCCTTGTGGATTTTAAAGCCTTCATTAAGCCTTTCCTAACTTCAGCCTAGCATCAGGAAAGCTTTCAAGCAACTAGTTTGTTGATCCCTCTTTGCTCAAAAATGTATCCTTTGAGAATAGAGTGTTCATGAAGGAGGTTGAAAAGGTTTGGTGAACAATTATTAATGGCCATGATAATCTAATGCTGTAGGGGTGTTTGTGCTGTTAAATATACTTTATTCTTTTAAAGAGTAAAAGTATTTGTAAATGAACCTATATCATAAATCCACCTACAATTTAAAAATTCCCTGGTGCGAGGAGGGAATATTTTTTTCCTCTCCCTTTGCTTAGAACAAATGGGGAGTGGGGCTTTTGGATTGAGGCCCCACGCCTTGTAGGGTACATCTCTTTGTTGTGTAAATGGATGTTGGGCTTTTATTTGGCAGTACTTCACACATGGGCGCAGGTGCTGCTGCATGAGTCACAGAGCATCCAAGTATACACTGAATGGAATATCCGGCTTGGCAAGGAGTAATCTAGAAGGAGCAGCATGGGTCTGAGCTTTTCATTTTTTATTAAGGCTGAAGTAGAGATATCATCTTTTGGTTGTTTGCTTTCCTTCTTTCCTGTGTTCTTCCCCCGCCTTCTCTTCCGTGTGATACATGAAAACTCAAATTTGAAATCCTCTTTGAAACTCTGTTCCAGATGGATCTGAGTTTTATGCAGCCTAGGGCAGCTGTGCTCTGAACCTGCAGCCTACCTGGAAGGTTGGATTGCAGCTGCAGGCATTCTTAAAAGCTTTTGCTTGCATAAGCACTAGGGCCCATGAGAGGCTGAATAGCTGCTTGATAAACAAAATGAACACAATGCCTCAAATCATTATTCCCGAAGACAGGAATTCTTTTTTCAGCAGCAGCTAAAAATAGTTGGGCAATTTACATTTTAACAGTTGTGTACTATGCTGGGGTAGGTGGTTCAACCATAGAACACATGATTTCTGCTAGATTAACAGAAATCATATTTAAACCTGACAGAATTGCTAAAACTTGTAACTGTGCGATTTTCTTGTAATTTATTGCTATAATTCTATGAGAAAAATAAAAGTTAAATTACATATTAATATTTAGTAGAGCTACACAGTTAAAAGAAAAGACACATTTGTACATGAAAAATTCCTCTCATTTCCTCTTAGTCTGAGATCAATTTTAAGAAAAACTTATTTTCGGTGTTTCATAGTTCTTTCGTTTTTAAACCAAAAGGGCAAAGTGGACAGAACAGTCTGGAAGGAGAATAGACACAGGGGTCGCTGACCTTCCTAATTGTAACAGTGTTCACTACTTGGAGGTGGTTCTCCGTGTTGGCTCAGGTGTCCAGGAGGAGCCGCAGAGATCGAGAAAGCCACTGAATTCTGACGAAACCTTGATTCCTTTGAGAGCCATTAGGAAATTTCACAAATCAAGCCTACTTATCTATTGTATTACTAGCTACCTTATTGGAGATTTGATTCTCTTACAGAACAGAATATAATTCAGTATTTTTGGTTCTATTTAACATCAATTTCAAACCTGATCATACTACTTTGAAATCATGCTGAAAATAGTATTTAAATATATTGAATGCCATTAAACATATATATATAATAAATGCAGCCCTGGCCGGTTTGGCTCAGCGGTTAGAGCGTCGGCCTGCGGTCCGGAGAGACCCGGGTTCGGTTCCCGCTAAGGGCACGTACTTCGGTTGCAGTTTGTCCCCGGCCCTGGTTGGTCGTGTGGGTGGCAGCCACTCGATGTGTCCCTTCACGTCGATGTTTCTCTCTCTCTCTCTCTCTTCCTCTCTCTCCCTCCCACTCTATCTGTACAAAAAATGGAAAAATATCCTCGGGTCAGGATAAAAAAAAAAAAAAAGAGAGAAAAAAAATAAATGCATTTCAATTAATTGAAAGTATATTTTAGATTAAATTCTATGTTTTTAAATCTCAAGTTTTTAAAAGAAATATATATTTTTTAATCTTTAAAAACAGATACCTTGGTAAATACCAAAATAGTAATCTATGAGAACATTTCTAATTGCACTATTCAGCTTTTAAATGTCTAAAACAACTTGGAATTTAAAGTTATGTTTTTTTATTTGAATGCTTTTCCTGAAATATATGTAATTTATAGACCATTAACAATGTGAATTGTTTTTTAAAATGGACATAAAAGTGAAAATGGACTATGTATATTTTATTTCATGATCATTTGGATATTATACCTCCTAAACCAAACTAGAAACTTGACAATAACATCTCAGATTTTAAATTTGCTCCTTATCCAGTCTATCTTTAATCTGTAAAATACATGTTACCTTTATTAAAGATACAATGAAAGAGCTAGGTTAGTACCGCTCATAAAAAATAAATGATAGGCAGGGTTACTTAACACATGCAAGGCATTGATAAACTACATAATTTGAACATAAAGCATTGGTTAGAGGCCTTTTCTTTTTGTAAGGCATAGCATATTATTTAGGTATTATTATAAATACAGACCTTAGTTCTTCTATTCCTCTCTACAGAACAACTGAATGGTAACTTCTGTCTGTGGATGAAGGTCCAATAAGGGTGAATTGACATCATTAAAGCAGTATGTAAGATTAAGAGAATGGTGTCTGTTCAAATATATTGGCTCGGTTATTGATTGGTTATAGAGTTATCCCTTAGAAAGCTT